TGACTCAAGTTCTTCTTCAATTGCCTGTTCCCAACACTTGGCTTCTGGACTATTTCTTGCATCTTGATAATCAATCGGTTCGTATATATCTACTGAATTGCATTCATATCTCTTCGGCCTCTTTATCTTGTCTCTGTCGCGTAATCTAGGACCTAAAGTCAGAGTTTCATCAAGTTTTCTCTTATTGGCCCTTTTCTTGGTTGGAGGATCAACAGCTATTACATTCTGATCTATTTGGACACTCTCCATATCTTCATTTTCAGCATCATGACCCTTGACATTGTCATGCTTACACATTTCAATGAGATTTTCTTTATGGGTAGAGGCGGTATCAGTTTGAATGGCTTTAGCTTCCGTTGTAATCGGTATGATTATGTCATTGCTCTCCTCACTCGATTGTTCTTTAAAGGTTACATCTCGAGCCACGATGACTTTCTTCTTCTCTAAATTAAACAATCTGTAATTGCAAGAATCCTGATCATAACCAACAACAAAAACTTTATCGGCTGACGCATCGAACTTCGATCTTTTAATATCTGGAATCAAGACAAATGCTTCAGTGCCAAATGGTCGCATATGGCTTACATTTGGTTTTCTTTGATACCACATCTCATAAGGAGTAATATTCTTGTTATTTACAGACGTAGTCCTGTTTAACGCGTATACTGCCATATTTACTGCCTCAGCCCATAAGTAAATAGGCATCTGTTTAGTGTGTAGCATGCTTCTAGCTGATTCCACTACGGTTCGGTTCTCTCTGGGAGATGATGTACATAGCTTAATTCCTCGGCTACCCAAGAAGTCTGTTACCGACGTGAACTTGAGTGTATGGACGGGAATTTCGACTTCTAAAGGCGAGTGTTTCAACGTAGAGGTTTAGACACCACTGCGTAGGCTCCGTGCATGACGGTTCGAATTTGGGATCGTCGGGGAAGTGTTCCTCGTCTCGAACCGACGACGGTTGATGAAACGATGAGTTCGGGACAGAGGAAGACTGGGGATCTTCCTCTGCGACCCAGTTGCCCTGTG